AATTAATCTATGAATCTCAATATAATTTCGTGGTTATTCATTTTTACTTTTTTGGAAAAGGATATATATTTTTCTTTATTTTGAGGGATAACTTCGACTTCACCATCACAAAAGTTTAACGCGTGAACAATAAAATGAGCATCATAGTGACTAAGGTTGTGTAAAAATATTGGTATATAACGAGGTGTTCTGAACTTCGAACTACATGATTCATGAGCAACACCTATAAAACTACCGGTGTACCAATCAAAATTATAAAAATGTTCTGCTAACTCTGTTTCACAAATATGACAAATGGTTGCATTTGAAATTTGGTTTTTGTCTTCATTTGTTAGCGGAAGTGGAGGATAGTTTTGAAGTCTATTTATTTCTTTTAGATTGTTAGATAAACTTTCCGTAAACACTTGTGCACAGTTGGGTCCGCAATATGTTACATATTTTGATAATTTATCATCATATGAACATTTTATATAATAACAAAAACTATGTACTTCATGTTTCCGAATATTGTGTGTGAAAGGTTTGGAAGGATCGTTAGAACATGATTCTATTGGTTTTAAAAATGCTTCAAAATCAGCATAAACTACGAATGGTATCTTTAACTTTTTTTCATAACTATCAAATTTAATTTTATCATTTGAAATAGGTTGACCAAACCAATTCTTTTTTTAAAGTTTCACTGTTTGGTAATTCTGTACAAATGTGGGCACAATCGTATTGTTCATGGTTATTTAACCTTTCCTGAGATGGAAAGTGAAGTAGATATGCTTCGCAAATGTACATGATGTGACCGTCTTTTGAAATTTGTTTACTAACTAACCGCGATAAATTTTTTATGTAACAATAATGATTTTTTGTATCCTTGGAAAAAAATTGATATGTCTATCTTTACACTTTGTTAAAAATAATGGACCTACTATAGAATTACATTGTTTTTCTTAGAATGGAAATATCATCAAATTTAAGTTTATTTGCATGTTTAACGTACGATGATACACGATCCGCGTTTTTGTTTATAGTCTGTTTGTTTATAGTATATATTGTAGTTAGATTAACGCCCATTTAAAACAAAAATAATCCTTGCTTTTTACATTTATAACAGCCTTTTTTAATTTTATGTCACGAGGAAGATCTATGTATGAAGTAACGCTTAGGGGGTTAAATTTATTAACATTCATGTCTATAGATTTTATGTTTTTGAGACTCCATCCACTATCTTTTTTTCAAATGCACTAATTTTAGTAGTAATTGTATCATTCAAAGATGAAAAAAAATATTTAAGTCATCTCCTTGACAAATAATATAGTTAAGCGTTTGAAAATCGAACGTATCATGAATATCTTAGTTTGTTGAACAAAATCAGCATGCAATATGAAGTTTACTTTAAAAATTATGTGTTGATGAATACACTCTTGTATTAAAAATAAAATATCATCTTTAATAGAATTTAAAAATAGTTCAGGAGTTTCAAAATTTACCAATGTCGAACTATCTACTCTACTCTTGATTTTATAAGTTAAAATCCTATTTCCAAAAGCAGATTCAATAACACTAACGTTTGATAAAGAATTATGTGATTTTAAAAGATTATTTTTGAGAACATTACTTTTAAAATGATTAGCTAAATACCGTTTCTTGATAAATATATGACACGTTAGACATTCCACTTGATCATCGTTACTGATACTGTTCCCTGCAGGGGTAGGCGCTTCTGCTTCCGTTGTTGGTTTTTTGATGATCTTGGGTTATTTGCTGCTCGTTCGCTTCGTTCCTCTTCCAAGTTGTAGTGATTGACTACTAAAATGTTTAAATTTATTAAAAACTGTATAAGACAATGTGTAAATTATGATCGAAATGAATGTTTATTTTACTTACTTAAACTGTGTTTCAACCATCGCACAGTGATTATACAACTCATCATCATACGATGAATCGAACAGTTGATCCTTCTCCATTTCATCACAAACTTTAAACAACTCCTGATTTAATTCGCTGTTGAATAGTTCCGTATTCTCTTCCATGGTTGTGGATAAGAAAGCACTGGTGCACACTTCACTGAAGTTTGCCATCCTTATAGTAAAGAAGAAAATAGGTAGCAGAGTAAGTAACAGTTCAGTGTTGGTAGACCAACTGATACCCAAATTTCAAATAATGTCCGATATTTATAGTCTAGCGAAGGATTAGAAATAGAATATAATGAGTACACAGAAGTAATTCAAGTAAACAGAACCACATTCACTAATGATCAGCTAATGACTGTCATTGTTAAAAACGTATTTTTTAACTTTTTCACTTTCTGCTATTGTCCTTGTAATATTGTATACGAGGGCGTTTGTGTTGTCGTAGATGCTATCCTTATTAGTTTTTACGTAATATTTAATCCTCGTGGATGCATGTTTCCAATGATCAGTAGTTGGTATCATGGATAGCTTCTTCATATCGTACATTTCAATTTTGATGAGATGCGTCGCTTGGTCTAAAGTATATGACAGTGGTATTCACAGTAGATAATATGCATATTCGTGTTCAAATATTCTTGCGCAGTATACACATACGGCATTTTGGGAGAACAATAAATAATAAAGTCCAGGGAAACGCAGCCAAAGTCGTCAACACAAATGCGATATCAAGTCCAGGTAACAGAAACCAAAATGTCTAATGTCAAATGATTTCTTAAATTTACGCGAACTCTACACATTGAATAAAACTATTTATACGGATAATATCGCGTTTAATTAACTTATTTTATCCTATATATAAATCCCAAGCAGATAATAGCACCCATCCATCTTCTCTATTGAAATTAGGGTGGTTTTTTAATTTAAATAGCCTCTCGTGTCATCCTTGGTACGAGTTGGTGTTCTTTTGCGAGGATTTGTGGTTTATTAAAACTGATGTAATGGTGAGGACGATCTTGAACATACCCGGAATCCCCGAGAACAGCCGCTTCCTTAGCTCATTGAGCGACATTGAAAATTTCTCCTACGGCCAGCAGTGGAGGACTACGTCTCAGATCCGTAAGATCACTGGCAATAACGTAGTTGATGTACAATCAACTACGTTATTGCCAGTGATCTTACGGAAAACGTAAAAAGAACGTAGTTGATGTACAATCTCGTTTATAAGTGAACATGTGTCGTAATTTCACAAAGGCTGCTCAGCCGAGTTGGGTCCGTCAATTGATCTCTTGGTTAAAGTTAAATTTACTTAGTCGAACTATTTAACCCAGGTAAACATACTCGTCAACAACTTTGAGTTTAGTGCTCCCATCAACTACCGGCATAGGTGTGGACGTTACACATGATCTTTGTATTTGAGGTCATTGAGATTAGTGCGTCCAGCAATTCTACCATAAGGACTGTATCCTAGGCAAATCGAAGGTAAGTGATGTACTCGTCATTGATGTTAATACCTTATCCTTCTCAGTCCAATAGTTTGAAAACGTCTGCCAATGCAGCGCAGTTGGATAGGTTTCGTAGTCTGGTTCTGCACTTCGATAAACAGACAGTCACCCAAATTTCGACGGAAATTAAAGGCTTTTTCACAGTTCACATTCGCAAGACATAGTGCTAGATTCTACTTCTCCTTTTCGCCGAGGGGTATGTATGTGGTCTATTATGGTGTTAAAGCATTTTTAGAAACTGGTTTATTCGGGAGACTGGAAACCGTCGAGTCTGCGTGCGAAACGATTCGTAATGACTCTCGAAAACCGCACATAGACGTGGCTCAGTAGGGTAATCGGTCTGGTTTTCTTCAAGAGGGATTTGTCGCCTTTCTCGAAGAATAAGACCACCGCACTTCTGCTCCACGCCTCCGAAGTAGTGCCACCATGAAGGACGGAATTAAAGAGCTTCTGAAGGACTTTAAGTACCGATTTTCTACCCGCTTTCAGAAGCTCCACTGTAAATCCATCCTCGCCTGTTTTAAGGTACCAGAGAGCCACTAATTTCTCAAACAAGTTTCTCTTTTTTGGTAGTGCCAATAATACTTTAACTTTTAAATGAAATATTCGTACTATAATGTGATACCTATCCGGTGTTATCTGATCAGACAGCAATGCATCTGTAATATCTTTCCATCGAGGATTGCATGTAAGTGTAACAAAAAGATCAGATCAGTGCGACTGTAATGGCAGACATAGTTCATTGCACCGTCTTTTCGTACATATATCGAGGTGATCAAGTAAAAGACGAAGGTAGTAACTTCTATTACTATCGAATAGTGTCGAATAAGACTCGCTCTTAGATTATTAGTCACACGTGTGTGGCTCCAACGAATACGTGTACAGCTGCCTACTGAACCTCTCAATCTCACTTAAAATCTTAAGTGTCTCGGAAACGATGCTGCCACATTCGTTTCGACAGTTGGCTCTTTCTGGCAGATAGACCACCGGCAAAAACTTTGGAACTCTGGTTCCTGGCAATCGCTTCTTCAATACAAGCTGTATTGAAGTTTGTATAAGTCCCGCTCCATGCATTTGGAGATCTGTCTGTTTAGTTGGCTGTATGTTGTCAAATCTACTGAAGGCCACAGCTTCATTTCTCGTCTAACAGCCTTGAGATTGAGTGTGATCCGAGAGATTGTGTTCTTCTGCGACGGGTCTTGTAGAACTTAAATCCGACCGCATAGACAGTTTCCACGAGTTTCTCATTCGTATAGTTTTCTAGGCACCGAAAATGATTTTTAACTCGTACTGAAAGTTTTCGGAACTTTGGATTAGAGACTTTAACTTCATTGCACGTGACCTCTCCTACTTTGGTAATCGTTTTCGTTTGATCATTTGTTAAATTGATCAAACTGTTTAGTCGTATTGTATGCTTGTGACATTTTTATGACGATTAAATTGTTTGGTCGATTTTGTTGGTGCGCGTTCAGTCGATCCAGTCGATATCGATCGAATCGATATACTTTATCTATCCGTTGGTAAATTTGCAGTGCGCAATTTCAATTAATAATTACAACTCTCATGATAAATAAGAAATTTTACTTTGCTTTATATAATGGGAAACGAAATAGGGAAAGAAGGTGGGTATGTCATCTCGTTTTAAGACCGATCGGTTGTTTAGTCGAGTTCGAGAGTCGAGTCGACTGAATAGTAGTCGCACTTTGAGCTGCCGGTAGATGCTTGTTCGACTGAATTAAAAAGCAATCGATGTGGTTTTTTTTGGATTATTATATTGAGTAACTGTCAAGTTAATAAAAATCTTCATACATTACCATGAACTTAACACGTTAAGTGAAATAGTTATTCGATTTAAAATTGTATGTATGCGTTTAACGTAAAGAACTGAGGTGTAATATCTTTTAACGACTAATTATAAGGTTTTTGCGGAATGGAACAGCAGCATTCTAGAGTAAAATAGAAACATAATACGCTTGTATGTAATTACGCTTGTATTCAGTGCGCGAGATCCTTCCGATTCATTCGTGCTACGGTCAAAATTCTACATTGGAGCACGATTCTGTCATGTTAATGAGTATCCCCTTAAATTTCATAAAGTCATTTTATTGAATAATTTTAGTATTTTATTGCAATATCGATCCACCGCGGCTTCGCACGGGTGATTTCTGTATCCCGACAACAGCCACCTACCGCGTCTAAATGTGAATCTAAACCATCTAGGGATCCAATACCAATTAGTTATACTTATATTAAACAAAGAGTAATATATATATATATATATATATATATATATATATATATATACTCTTTGTTTAACACTTCTTGCATTTCTTGTCTTTAAATGTCACACTCATTATGTTTTGAAAGCATGGTATATTCATATCTGCCACTATTTGTAATTGTTTTAACATTAACTTTATTCTGTTTATATAAGATAATTCATTAGTTTGGTGTTATACACGGTGCGGTATTATGCTGCACAGTCACCCGACATCTATTTTTTGTATAATAGCGACGGAGTTTTGCGAGAGATTTTCTTTTTGTGGATTGAGGAGTTAGTAATTCATTATATTCAAAGACATTCTAAACGTATGCATACGAGCGTTTTCACGTATATGCAATGTAGATGTAGATTACGCGTTTGAGATTTGGGATTTGTTTTTTAAAACTTTATATGAAAGTATCAAAGAATGCCACCTAAGTGAAAACAAATTTTCCCAAAAATGTTTAAATAAAAACAATATATTAAACTTGGCTTTTAACAAGTCTTAAGTTATGTTATCTGCGATTTATAATATTGATATAATATTTCTACTTGGTGCTGAAAAATTCTCTCATTCTTTCTTTGTCCTTAACACTCACTGTCCGGTTTTCAGACGTAATAGTAAGACAATAGCAATGACCTTTATGTAGTGCATCTGTATACCTTAATATAATATCTTTTTTACTTAAACCTTCTTAATACACGGTTGAAATTTAGAATCGTTTGGCAAGAATTTGTGGGAGTAAGTTGTTTTATTTGATAGAAGTTTGGTCCCCGATTATGATAATACCACTCCCATTAAAAGGTAATGCACTGTTCTTGAGAAAAATCATAAAGAAAATCCCATAGAACTAACCTCAAAATCATAACTCAAAATGAATTAAGGGGGTGGGAGGTGGTGGAAATCCCTCTCCCGCCTCCCGGCGGGGGAGTTGTAGAGTCGCCCCCCATTTCCACATCCTGCCGGACATGCTTAGTTTTTATTTATAAATTTTTAAAAATCTAATTTTGAGGTTATGTTTTGTAATGTTTTTGACTATAAACCTGATTTATGGGGGGAGAGAGTTGGAGGAGGGAAGCATCACGTAGCGCAGCCTAGGGAAGGCCGGTCGACGGAGCCCCGCTTAGCGGGGCTCCTACTTCTGAGTGGTTTACAAAAAAATAACTACGAAGGGAATGGCGGGGTCTATACGCTCGCTTCGCTCGCTCACTCGACCCCGCCATCCCCTTCTAACCTAACCTGTCCTTGTCGGGGTGCCCTAAGTCCCGAGCTCGCTTCGCTCGCTCTTACACTCAACAAAACACCAAAATATTAGCTTTTATAATTACTTTAAATTATAAACATAATATATAATACAATAATAACCACACTACGGCTCGCACAGGGGCCTGCGATTTGCTACGACGGGCGGGGCCTGCACTGCCTCCGCACCTTCGGCTTTACAAAAACACTTTAGGAATATGGTAGATAAGCCTACTACTAGGGCGTGCTGATTTAATTTTAGTACAGATTCGAGCAGATCAGATATATATAGTCAGGTTGCCTTTGCTCGCGCCGCAGGCACAAAGTTCTGATGCTATCCAGCTTTCACAGTAATATCGTATAATTTTTTCTCAGATGGGGTAGGACTCAGAGCCATAAAGTCACTTAATAATAAAAAATGTATCATTTCATCATCCATACTTTACTTATTTTGGGATATAAATTATAATAGTTTTTATTTATTTTTTCGATAACGGTGCATTACCTTTTAATCGGGGTATTATTATAATCGGGGACCAAACCTCTACCAAATAAAACACCTTACTCCCCCAAATTCCTGCCAAACGATTCTAAATCCAACCCTAATACACTACTGGACTTCGGTTTTTTTAAAAGTCTGTGCTAATAGGAAAACACAACATGCAAATTGCCTGTACTCACCTCGCATTCACGCTCATTATATCCATGTGGAAAATCGGGAAATAACATTACGTATTTTATTTCTTGAACGCCAGAGACTCGTTCTTAATGTAACAGGGTGCACCACGTGCGGACGAGTCCGTTTTTTACATCTCTCTTATGCTTCTAATAACAATGATTACATTGTAAACCACATAATTTTTCTTTTACAGCTATTCTATCTTTGTATTTAAGAAATGTTTTATGTCTACACGAGAATGCCGCTACTGTAGTGTATCATATATTTATTATGATGTGTTACACGATGCCATTGGTGGGAGCTATTTTAGCTGATAACTATATAGGACGATACAAGTAAGCTTTTGATCCTGTTATTTGTAATTTCGACCCGGGGCGGGGAAAGTTGGAAATGCCACCCCTTCCCCACTTATTTTTTTCAGAATCTTAAAAAAGCATAACATCGGTAAAAGTGTTCTATAGTTTATGTATATTGTTCGAAAAGTAATAAATTTGACAGTTCCGTGGCGCAGTGTCTTAGACCAAATGGTCTAAGGTCTTAGCAATTTGTTGCAGCGCTAAACGCCGAGGGTTTGAATCCCACAAGGAACAAGCATTTGTTCGGCCTACAAATAATTGTTCCAAGTCTGGATGTTTGTCCTTGTGCAATTTATATTTGTAAACTGCCCCCAAGAGGCAGGAGAAAATCTTACTGTGGAGGTTCTTAAAAACAATTTAAAGATCTTTGGCAAGTGCGTGAGTGAAGATTGTCCCTATTTTCAGAACTTTAAAAACTACAGTTTTTGCAATATTTTTATAAAAATTGTTAAGCAGTTAAGAGTTATATTTCAAGATTTTTGCTCACTATTCAAAAAGTTAAGATAGGGGCTGACATTATTTTCCTGAAATGCCGCCCCCTATACTCAGTCGTCCGCCATAGCACTGGAACACCCTTTGCTACGCCATTCATTCGGTTTTTTTTACTACATAACCAAGATATTGCATTATGGAAATATGTCATTTTAGTCCTTAAATATACAGTTTTTTGTAAGATTGACTACAGCACCACCTATCGGGTTCTAGAATAGTTGTGCAACATCGTCTTGACAAACCAAATTGTAGCAAAAATGTGTCGGTTCGACCGGAGAAGGACCACGCTCTCACAGAATACCAGCGTGAAATAGCAGCTTATTGCTGCTGTATTTCGTACAGTGATTGTAGAGAACCAGAGACTCTTTTTTACTGGACATGAGGTACTCCATCTTAGTTCAAAGGGGTGGCATCGCATCTGTACTTTGATTTTTAATCGAAGATAGATAAAATAAATATACAATATGTTTATTGGTCATACCATCTACTTACCATCAGGTGGACTGTGTGCTAGTTTCTCAACTAAGTTGAATTATTGAACTCAGCATTAAGTAACAAAATTTTCATATTTCAGAGTTATCTTATACTTTTCCATTATATATTTGATTGGGACAATCTTAACATGTTTCTCGGCTATTCCACCACTAATGTTACCCGCAACGTAAGTATTAAAAGTGTAAAAATAAGGGCTAGTTGTATATTACATAAAATATTTCTTTATAAAATGAAGATTGTCTCTAGAAAATGAAGAGACAAACAAGCTCAGGGTCCACGTCATTATTGTAGTTGGCAACTGCATATTCATATTCACATTCATATTATTTATTGCTGCAGTCCTTGCACTGATTAGACGTGGTCGCTGCGTGAATTTCGCACAACATAAACTACTTTTTTTATTCAGCGATAGTTTCTAGGCCACGAGATTTTAAGTTTTAGTTTCTTCATCATCATCACCATTACAATCCTTCACAAGTCCACTGCTGAACATAGGCCACCCTCAAGGAATTCCACGAAGCATGGTCCCGAGCCACCTGCATTTCTTTATGGGAGACGGGGAAAACTAGCACACGTCTTAGCCGATGGTAAGTGATTACCGCCGCCCATGAAAAATTGCAACAACAGGGGAATTGCAGATGAATTCAGAGAAATTGTGCGGCTTGAATTAGGCGGAACAATTCCCTATCCGTGGTAAAAGCGATAAAATACGCAAAGAGATGCAATGTCTATTCGTAGTGCCAGTGAATACTGTTACGAGCTTGAGGTTCGTGACAATAAAAATTGCCGATAAAATTACCTAAATTAACACTTTAATTTACTTTACACAAATTAAAACTAAAAACACTAATAATTAAACACACTAATTCACTTAATTCCGCTCCGAAGCTTCGCTTGTGTCGCCGAGTTCAACTCTGCCTCGATCGCATCTTGCAGCGCCTATTTATATAATTAGCAAAGAAGCGTCCCGAACATTCAAGTAAATGCGCGCCGGGCAACGAGTATTCGAGTGTAGATTTTCCAGAAACTTAGTTCTTCGGGTGGCGCTGTCGGTCGAAAGATTAGTGATGTCATTTACTGCAAAGCTCCCCTCGCTCT